TTTGTGAGATAGAAAGGAAAAAAAAAAAAAAAAAACAACTTGAAATTACAAACTTTCCCCAGCTGAGAGCTATTTTGGGCACGCGCTGGTGCTCCCTTTAAATAGGGCAGGGTTTTGCAGCGGGCTCAGTCGGTGCCTGCGAGCAGGGCCCTCCCGCCAGCCGCCCGCTCCGGACGAGTTCTGCTGTCCAACGTAACCCCGCTCAGAGGCCTTTGGTGAGTGCAAGCGTGTTTAGCAGGGCTCAGGGATGAGATGCGGACGGAGATAACGTCCACGGCTGCATCAGGCAGCCTGACACCGGATGCGCGTGGGTTAGCAATCCTCCTGGCGTGAGCGCTTTGAAAGGGCTTCTTCCTCTAAGCACGCTTTGCTCCTCCGCTGCCTGTCGCAAGGAGCCTGCGAGGCTGCTGGAACCAGCTGCCTGGAGGAGACGGACACTTGGATTTACCTAAATACGTTATCAGCTCAGCAGTTATTTTAAAACAGTTGTAATTAACGTGAAATTGCTCTTTGCTTAATAACAGTTGGAATAACGCGTGGAGCACTGGCGGACCTGCGAGCGCTGAATAGACGCAAAAATGCTAAGAGAGCTGTGAGGGAGAGCCTTGGGGGTCTGCAAGCCTGGCGAGGAACCCCCCAGCTCCCCACATCGCTATTTCTGAACGTTGTCCTGTGTTCTTCTTGCAGGTTCCTCAGGACGGAGAGATCCCCTGAGCAGCAAAGCGCTATCGCCTGTGCGGTATGTGAAGCGTGAGCAGGGCATCACAGAGCAGCACAGGGAAACAAACCTCCGCCCCAAGTGCCGTAATATGCTTTTTCCATCCATGCTGCTTCAGTCCATCCTCTGGGCCACCAGCTGATGAGATGGCACAGAGCGCCGAGCTCCAGCCAAGCTTTGAGGACATTTTTAATATTCTGTCCCAGATCCCACAAGATAAGCTCCTTAGCCTCAAACATAAACTGAAGCACTTGATACCTGGGCCCAGCAGCAAACTACTGCAAGCCATGGTCCTGCTTACTCTGGGGCAAGAAGCAGATGCAAGAATTTGTTTGGATGCCTTGAGAGAGAACCAGGCAGCCCAGTACGTCCACCAGACCAAACTGGGCACCGCAAGAGTGCAGGAAGACGGGGAGGATTTGCAGCCTCCCCAGCTGGATGCAGGTGCCATGGCGCTTCTGGCACACATCTACTCAGTGTTAGCCGAGGAAAAGCTGTGCAGTCATGAAGCCATGGACAAAGCCTACCAGGCTGCCACCAAAGCCTGCAACGCCAGCAAGGAAACTCAGGGGGACACGCTCAACAGCATCCCAGCTGACGACCAGGAAAACCATGGCTCTGCTATCAGCACGAGCCCAGGTGACAAATTTCAGACACTGAGATCTGATGAGGGTGTAGGATTTCTCCAGATGGTCAGCCCAAACGACATGGTGAGAAGTTCCCCAGTGCAGATTAGAGGCAACTCGGACCTTTCAGGCCCACGGACCTTGTGCTCTTTGGGGAGTCCCTCTTTCCCCAGCCACTTTGAGATCAGTGCGTCGCCAACAGCTGCTTTTCACACCCAGCCTTCTTCCCACAAGCGTGTTCCCCAGCCCAGCCGGCTGTGCGAAGGGAGCACCGGCGGTGCTGGACAGCCTGACGTGGACAGACAGAGCCACGGCCTGCAGGAAACAAGCTGGGCCAGCAGACCCAACTCTCATCCTGGGCAGGACACGGGTGCCCAAGTCCCCCAACCGGAGAAGGTTCTGCAGGTCAGCTCACGTCGTCCAACTCTCCCTATTCCTGAAACACAGCTGCCCACGCCGGGCGCTGTGAACCAACCTGTCGAAAGTAGTGATGTTTCCAGCACAGTGGCAGCGGAACCTCGTGCACCAAAAGAAAACACAGACAAAAAGCAAGATGAAAAGCCAGTGGATACTGGTTCTGCCCACATATCCATGAGGCACTCCTATGTTCCAGCAGGCCTTCCTTCTAGCTCTGCATCTGCTTCCATTTCAACCGGTTCCCTTCCTCCTCCTACCTATTCCTCCTCCTCAGCCCTTCCCCCTCCTCTTCAGAGAGTTCCTTCCAACTTATATGCCCCTTCCCTCCACTCATCCCCCTCTCCAGTCTGGCCTCCTCCTCTCCAAACTGTAGAACCAGCGCCCACATCAGAGCCAGATAGTGGAAAGTTCTTCACTTTCGTTGTCCTGCATGCTAGTGAAGATGAGATTGTTGCCCATCGGGTCAAGGACCTGCTGGAGAACATGGGGGTTCCCAATGGTGCCACGCTCTGTGGGGATTTCTTCATTGCCGGACGTAGCCATCTGACTTGCTTCCAGGATGCTATGGAAAACTCTGCTTTCATCATCCTTCTGCTGACCAAGAACTTCCCATGCGACCTGTGTATGTTTCAGACAAACACTGCTCTGATGGAGTCCATCCTGAAACCAGACAAGCAAGACTCAGTCATCCCTTTTGTGCCCAAGGAGAACCCCCTGGAGCGGAGTCAGATTCCCAGCACGCTCGGTGGGCTGATGCCCTTGGATGAGAACTCTCCTGGGTTCTCCAGGACAGTGCAGAACACCTTTACTACCAGCAGGATCAACAAGAGGAAAGCCATGTGGGACCTGACGCAGAGAAAGAAACTACAGCTGTATCAGGAACGGTATCAAACACTGCAGAACTTCGCTGCTCTGAACCTCGGCTCCCTTCCCCAGGTGCCTCCATCAGCAACAGGGCCGCAGCTGCTGCAGCGATCACCCCAACAGTGGTGCCCGCCGGCTTCAACTGTCCCTCCTGCCACGTACCCGCCTCCCCCCGTGGGTCACCCCATGCCCACTCAGATGGGTCCCCCTCCTTTCCAACCATTTCAGCTCCCATCAGGCCACTACAGCATGATGCCAGGTCTAGGTGGCATCCCGCCCCTCATCATTCAACACGCACGAATGGTTCAGATTGGGAACCACAACATGATGCAGGTAGAAACTGTCACACCAGGTCCACAGGCCAGTGAGGAAGAAAGCAGGTAGAATGCTTGATCAGAGGTGCAGCAGGTCAGCCAAGGCCAGAGACACTCACGCTTTGTTTCAAACCCTGGACTATAGTGATTCTCCTGGGACTGGGACTATTTTTATTTCACTGTGGGTAAAAGGTGCCACTTCCTTGGAGCAGAGGAGAAAATTACCTTCTTTTTTGTTGGACAAAAGAGGTTGCAATCTCCTGAGACTGTTTACCTTGTGCTTATTTTCAAGTAACTGAGAAAACTCTTCTCCTGATTTTCTGAGGCTACTGGAAGGTTTTATAAATAAATTTTAATTAATTTGTTTGTGTTTCTCTGGTTCTTTCTTGCAGAATTAGCAGGCAGTCAGGGATATCAGGAAACCCGTTCTGCATGTCTGTACCTCTGGGATGGAGGGGGCTGGCAGATGGCGTACCGGGGTTCTGTTTCATAACCCGCTGCTGACCAAATCATTTGAGGGGCAAATCTTCAGGGGCTGCTTTGGGGAGCTGTGGCCCCCTGCCAGGTGCTAAGCACCATGAGGTCCCACTGTTTTCTTCCAGCAGCCCTCTTTCTTTGCTCAGGGGTCACACGGCATCCTCTTGGCCTTTCACGCCGACGCCTACTCTGCGTGCATGGCGCGCTCCCCTCGCCGCAGCGCGCCAGCCGCGCCATTTCCCCCAAGCCTCTCGCATCAGACCCAGGAAGGCTCAGGAAACCAGCTTCACAGCCTTCTGAGAGGCTGCAGGCCACTGAGGCATTGAGATCACTTTTCCCAGTTCCCCTCTGAAACTACAGAGAGAAGTTTTTTGTTTGTGAAAGACAAAATTCCTGCGTGCCCCCAGAGGCATAGCTTGAAAGAAAGTATTTTTGTATTTAAGAAAACTCTGTTAAAGAACTGAGATTACACACCAGATAGAGGGCTAAACAAGACTCTTTAAAGTAAAGCTGTGTTTGGGGGGAAAAAAAAAAATTACTTAATGAAGGTGGAATGAGAGGGGAAATGCAGAGAAAGTGCGAGGAGGCAGAAGCTGAGTGTTCACTCCTCCGTTCTTACTTGCCTGTAAAAGGTCAAAGGTGGGACCAGGGCCCTTTTAGACTGGCTGTTGCAGAGAGGAATGTGCCCTATGGAGATTACTCCACCTATTTATGTTATCGCCTTTGAGGAAAGAGTTTGACGCAAGAACAAAAGCATTGAGCAGAGCATTACAGAAGGGGTGGACAAAGGCCAGGAATGGGGGAGGCGTTCTGCAGGACCCGGGTGAGGGCTACACCAGGCAGATCTCTACTGAGCTTTTAACACGAGCAGGGCATCAAAAGCAAAGCCCCAGACCCCACGCTCTCCCTCGATGGCTTCTGCTGCGGCCATTTGCCTGCTCTGTCAGCAGAGGTCGGCCCGAAGCCACCAGACGACTAGAGATGGGACTGCTCCCTCTGCGGACCAGAGCCCAGCCAGCAGCACGGAGCTGCAGACCCAACCCACCCTGCGCAGGGGCCTCTGCAAGCTGCAGGGCAGCGCTCACCCTACTCCTCACCCCAGGAGGAGCCCGAGGGCTGCCAAGTCCTCATTAAGGTGGACCTCCAGGGCCAGTGTGATTGATACAGGGGTGGTGACCCCGTTGCGGGTAATTCTGCAGATGTGCGTGAGCTCGTGTCACTCTGAATAGTGACGTTGTCCCGCTACGTTTCAAATTGAGAGGAGCCAGCACGGTCTGGCAGCCAAAGCGCAGGACTCCTACAGGCCATTCTGGACCTGGGACTACCCAAACTAGGCACTCACAGGGCCTAATTCTTGATTATAGTCTTTGTCCAAGAACCACCCAAGCCTTACAACCAACACCTCCGTAAGATGGACATTAATAAGTCCTTGGAGAAAAGACTGTTCAGCTGACACTAATCCCCTCTCAGGGAGCACTCTGGTCACGGGGGTAAAGACCGTCCAATTCTCACGCCTCCCCTCTGGCTCAATCTACCTCAAGCTCGTTCTGCACAAAGCACGCCCTCCCAAACAAGTACCAGCCTACTAAATAAAGCTCACTGCTGAGACATGAAACCCCAGCACGGAGGAGAGAGCAGAATGGGAACCTCTCCTTAGTCCTGGCTCCTCAGAGGATAGCAGGTAACGGTATAAAGGAGGACAGCTCCCTCCACCTGCCCTGTGCTGAAAGCTGCAACTGCTGCCTTTTTGATGTTGAGCAGCTTATGCCCCTCAGGAGGGGCCAAGGATGTCTGCAGGATGATGCTGGAGAGCCTGGGCACTGCCCGAACTTCAGTGCAAGCTCTGGAGCTCCTGGGCACCACCAGGCATAGGAGCTGAGAGCTGACGTGTCCCTACTCTTGAACTGCACCAGAGCAGTGGCCGTCAGAGTTTTGGATTTAAATCCCACAGAATTTCCTCTTAAGAAGCCACAGGTCCTTTCTCATGGATCCATCTACAGGTGGTCTCTCTGCCTCCCTCCCCCCACCTCAAGGAGGCTTAGCTCCTCCTGGACATCTTTGGCTGAGAAGTTCTCAGCACAAGACACCAGGCTCAGACAAATCAACGCCCTCTCTGTCCTGAGCAGAACACGAACCACATAAAAGCATTGCTATTTAAAAGCTGCCATCAGTTGTTGGCTTCCAGCTTTGAAACCATTTGGCTTTTAACTTCCAAGGACCCAGTGACAATGGATTAACTCATTTGCTCTTTATAGAGCCTGCTGGAATCCTCCAAGTGCTTGGATTCCTTCTATTTCCCTATTTTGTCTCCTCTACGTCACCTTTGTTCGAATAGGTGTTGTGTTACTGCAATTCTGTCACACTGCAGTTGTTGCTGTGCAGCCACCAGGACAGCCCCTCCCCTTGGGAGAAAACATATACATCACTCCTTCCCCAGCTCTCCTGCTTTCTATAAATAAACGTCATGCAAAACTAGTCAACTGGACGCTGCTCTAGCTTGTAAACAACCTTAACACAGTCACATCAAGTTTGCTTGGACCAGAGAAAGGGAGAGGGAAAGACATGGCAGCAGGCTGGAAAACATCGCAGGGTTGGGCTTTTTTTGAACTTCCAGCATGTGGAGGGCCAAGAGGCTCAAAGGTTACTGGGAGCAACTTCCACTTCAGAGCCACAGCCCTGCTTTAACCGCAGCAGCGGGTTCACTCTTCCCACATTTTCAGGGCCCTCTTTGCCGTTGCTCACCCTGGAAAGGGAGCTTTGCCACCAGGGTCTTGTTTTCACCAGGAGAATGCACGTGTGCTTGTGACCCCCTTGTTCTTCCCTGTCTCTTCGAGCCTGGGAAATGCTGACACAGTATCCCTGTCTTTATGCTCTAGGCCACTTTCTTTGTAAGCACTGATCTTGGGGCATTAGGAGGCTCCAAAGACCTCCACGGAAGGGGACCAGCATCTGGCTCCAGGGAAACCCCAGTGAATTTCTCACTACTTTTGCATTTCTAAAGAAACCTGTATGGGAGACTTTATTGCCAAGAGGACCAATTACCAGTATTAGAGAGAGAGAAAAGCACATCTTGGGTTTTAAGAAAGGAATAAAAGGCAGACATTTTGTTCATGGCAGTGTACGGAAGGGCTCCTGGAGAGCAGCATGCTGCAGGAGGGTCTGTAAGCCACCCCAGGAAAAAAAAACAACTCCACGCTCTGTCCGAGATAATTACTCAGATAACAAAATCATCACTGAAATGTTTCACTGCTCCCGACAGCTCCTTGTTTTGCCCCACATACTGGAGCTGGCCCAGAACACACCTACAATAAATAAGGACCGTTCATTGTAATTACCCCTAAATTCACGCAGTGATTTCTCCCACCCAGTAATTACTATCAACATTTAATTGCTAGGTCCTTACTATGTAATTACAGATTATTGCTGTCTTAAAAAAGAAAAAAAATTAAAGCCCTTTTCTGTCACACAAAGTATTCTCCTCCTTGAGGCTTTTGTACATGACTGGATCCCCCAGCTACCTGATCACAAGACCACGGCTCCAGGGTCACTTCCCCGCGCCAGCTGTGGGAGAACTCCCCCCTCCTCTCCCTCCTCCCAGCAGCTCTGCGCAGGGGATGGGACTGCAGAGAGCACCACAGTCAGGAACTTTCAGCCTCAGCCCTGTGGCTATCCGGCTCCTTGTACCTGCGGTGGCAGCTGCTCACCTACGTACCTGAAGATCACCTACAGCACAGCAGCAGTATTTTGACGGGAGAAGCATGTCGCACAGAACCGCAGACACTGCTTAAATGTCGTGTCTAGCATTTTCAAAGGAAACAGAAGGCAGCAACATTGCTCAAACCATCAAGAATCATTTCTGAGGATGGAGCAATCAATGAAGGGACAAACATTCAACTATTTTATCCATCTGCTCCCATCCTCCCTGGGGAAGGCCGAGCATTTTTGGAAATCCAAATTCTTGTGTGGAACTAACTCCAGTATCTTTAATTCCTCTGCCTGCTTCTGACTTCCCAGCTCTGGGGTTGAAAAACATAAACTGATGATAAGCACACTGCATCCCTCTTTCTGCTTGCTGTGCCCACAGTCCCAACTGTATATAAGGCAGGTAATATCGGAGCCAACAGAGTAGCATCCCTTCACACTGTTCATTTATATCAAAAGATAAGGCAAAGTATATAGAGAGAGGTGTCACTTCAGTGTCAGTGTCATCCTTTTTCAGGGCAAGTGTTTGCAAGTGCAATACATATTATCTTCTCCCAGGAGTAAATTCAGATGAAATGAAACAATCGCATCTGTTGATTGCAAACACCCAGTATTTCCGTACCCACACATGTATCATCCCTAGGAAACAAGCTGAAAATACAGGCTTACCAACAAGAAGTCCAAGGCACTTGCATTCTAGCAGCCATTTTTTGGTTTATTATTTAAAGTTAAGAGCGCTCATCAGCTCACAAATTAACAAATTCCATTCCTGCAGTTTAGTTCAGGTTTCAGCCAAAAGGAAGAAAAAAAATAGAACGTAGCTAAACTAACTCTGCACTTTACATCTCAATAAAAGTTAAACCTCCTTGCTTTATAAATAAATGTTATAGT